GTTGGCCGTGGGGTGGGGGTTAAGAGGTAGCCTCCACGCAGAGGTTAGAGCTGGAGAGGAGAGAGGGGGGTAAGATCGGAATTTGGGGGGTTATTTCACGGAGGAGGTCGAGGTTGGCCGCGAGGGTCTCTACGGGAAAGTCGGGTTGGCCACGGGACCCGGGGGGAGGGGGGCAGTGTCCACACAGGCCCAGCCTCACCGTCCGCCAGAGCCTCATTGCACTCGAAGCTGATCTCGAACCGGAAAGGGCTGTGGAAAGGGCTCGGATTCTCCAGCACCGCCACGTTCAGCACCGATACCTTGGCCATCGCTTCGCCGGGCCGCGACTGAAGCCGAGGCTGGGTCCGAGCCCACGCCTGGATCCTGTAGGATCAGCGGGACAGCGTTGCCCACAGAGCCTCCCGCCGTCTCTGTCCGTAGACTGAAGTGCGTATACTCTCCGCGCGCCTCCTTCAAATAGCTGGCCGCACCCTCCGACCAATCACCGTAAACGCTCCCCGGCGGCGTGAGCACCCTCTTAGCCAATCCTGGAGCGCCGGAGGCGTGCGTCGAGACTCTCCGGACCAATCCGCGGAGCTCCCTCTCCGGGCTGTGCGAGGGAGGCGGGATCACCTCTTGGCTTCTTTGGATATCCGCCGGGAACCAATCCCCAGCGTCTCAAGACTCAGAGAACATAGGCGGGGGTAGGCGGAGTCAGAGCGCCGGGCTCCTGTCGGCCAATCCTGAGGGTTCCCGCATCAGCGTGGCCCGCCCTTCGCATAACCCTTCCGGGAGACGCATCTCCAGGGGAGCAGCGCCGCCAACTGCCGAGCGGTGGCGCGCGGCGCTCGCTTAAGAGGACGGGAAGGGCGGTGCTCGAGTCCGCGGTGATTGGCAGATGAAAATGGGCGGTGATAAAGCAGAATTTTTGAGAGGTTATTGGCTGAGTAGTCTCGCGGGGCGGGAGGAGAGGAAGACTTGGCTTGGGATTCGTGAGAAAGGAGCGGAAGTCGGCCGCCGGCGCGGTGGAGCGGGGTGTGAGGAGAAAGAAGGGGTGTTTGCAGCGTCGGCGCCTGTCAACAGGTGAGCGTTAACCAGGAGCTTCTCTGAGGGGCTCCTGGCCCCTTAGGCCCAGCGGCGGCGGAGTCCGTTGTGAACATTGTGACTCACCCCTGAAGGTAGATGGAGCAGCGGTCCTGCGGCGCTGGGGCCCGGGACCTGGCTGTCAGCCCAGTTCGAATCCCTCCCTCGCTCCTCGTGGGCCGCTGGGAGTCGTGTCAGGTGCACACCGCTGTAAGTAGGAGTTCGAGTCCAGCCTCTGCTGGAGTGAAGGGTCTCATCATTGATGTTTAAGCATAGTGATTAATCACAAAAACAATTATGAAGTCACTGATTTGTGACTTCATAATACATCGAGAAACTTGTCTCCATTTCCATGCCTGCGGGCCACCGTTGCCCCTGCCAGGAAGACTCCTGGCGCCTCCGCACCCGCTCTCTCTGCTCCCACCCGCGACCAATGGAAATAACTCAAGCCACATACTTAATCTTAATTTGTTTAGTAACTACGTTTTTAAAAAGTTTAAAAACAACATCAAAACATGTGTGGGTGGGTGGGTGGGTGGGTGGATGAGTGGTTAGAGCGTAGGTCGGCGCACCTGAAGGGCCCTGGATTCGATTCCTGGTCCGTGGCATGTACCTCCGTTGCAGATTGGATCCCTGACCCGGTTGGGGCCTGTGCGGGAGGCAACAATCAATGGATGTGTCTCTCTCACATCTTTGTTTCTTTCTCCCTCACTCCCTCTTCCCCTCCACTCTCTCTAAAACTCAATAGAAAAAATATCGTGACAATTTAAGGGAAAAGAGGTCATTGCTCCCGAGGATTTAAAAAAAAATGTTGTATTTAATCCAGTATAACCAAAATATTTCAGAGGTGGTGGGTATAAAAAATACAAATGAAGTAACTTACGTTATTTTACTCTGCACAAGGTCTGTGAAATCCCATTCTTTTTACAGCTACATTTTCTTTCCTTTTTAAAAAATGTTTTTTATTGTTTTTTTACAGAGAGGAAGGGAGAGGGATAGAGAGTTAGAAACATCGATAAGAGAGAAACATCGATCAGCTGCCTCCTGCACACCTCCTACTGGGGATGTGCCCACAACCAAGGTACATGCCCTTGACTGGAATCGAACCTGGGACCCTTCAGTCCCCAGGCTGACGCTCTATCCACTGAGCCAAACCGGTCAGGGCTACAGCTACATTTTCATCAGAAATAGTTGGTCTGGCTTTAAGTTTTATAACATTTACAGTCGAAAATGTAAATTCTCATGCCCAAGCCTTCCCATGAAAAGTGTTCCACGAGCTCAATTGCATATTGGTTTTTAAATTGAAATGTTAGTTAACTAAAATTAAGTGACATGGAAAGTTCTGTTTAACAATGGAAGTAGCTATATTCAGCTGCTCATGAGCCCTTATGGCAAGTGGCTATTGTATTATTGGACAGCAAAGATCAAATTGGATTAGTCACTCTCCTGCTTATAATGCGAGTGATTTTCTGTTTTTCTCAGGATGAGAACACAATCACCCCTTTGGCTCCACTGCCCCCATGCACAGCTTTGCTTTTCAATGGTTCAGTTACCTGCCTCAATCTTGGTATGAAAATATGAAATGGAAAATTCCAGAAATAAATAATTCATGTTTTAAATAGTGCACTGTTCTGATTATCATGATGAAAAGTGAAATCTCACCCTGGATGGTGTGGCTCTGTTGGTTGGGCATCGTCCCATGCACTGAAGGGTCACAGGTTCGATTGCCTGTCAGGGCACACACTCAGGTTGCAGGTTCAATCCCTGATCAGAGTGTGCGGAAGGCAACCAACCGATCAATGTTTCATTCTCACATTGATGTTTCTCTTTTACTCTCTCTCTCTCTAAAATCAATAAAAATGTAAAAAATAAACACGTAACACCTGACTAGTCAGGGGCACTGACCGCTTTTCCCTTAGATTGTCAAATAAAAAAATGACAACAGCCAACACAATAACAGTCATCTGATGCGAATGAATAAAAATTATACCTATATATTTTTTTGTCAGATCAACAAAACATATATTTTTTGGTGTACTGCAGAATTTTAGTAATTAGTTTATGTGTGCCATGAAATGAAAAAGGTTGAAAATCACTGATCTAGCATATCAGAGAGACCCCCCCATTCACATAACATTTATTACAGTAATCGTTATAATTGTTCTGTTTTATTATTAGTTATTGTTAATTTCTGACTGTGCCTGATTTAGAAATTAAACTATCACTGGCATGTGTGTATAGGAAATAACAGTATATTTAGGGATATATACTAGTATGTATTCATAGTTTTAGGCATCCTCTGGGGATCTTGGAACTGTCCTCCTCTGCTAAAGGGGCACTACTGTATTGTCTTTAAGACTCTACATGCTTTGTTTCCTACAACCCACAAGCCCCAACTTCAGGCCGGCCAAATTGACCCTCTCTTTGTTCCTTAAAAATCTGACATAGCACTCCCAGCTCAGAACCACTAACTAGATTCTCTTCTCTTAGTTCTTGGGATGGTTGGTGCCTTCTTGTCATTTATATCTCGCTGTTTAAATATCCTCTTCTCAGAGAAGAAGGTCCCCTGGATCAGTGGTCGCCAACTGGTGGTCCGCTGCCCTGGACAGTGTTCATACACAGAGTATAGGCCTGAATAGCACTGATCCAGCTTACTAGCATTTCTTATCCAGCCACCTCTGGGCGCCCCTAGAGTCTTAAGGCTACATATCTTTTTGTATCTACATGTCGCATCAATTTTTTTGTTTTTATTTTTTTGTTAATCCTCACCTGAGGATATTTTTCCATTGATTTTTTAGAGAGGGTGAAAGAGAGTAAGGAAGTAGTGGATGTGAAAGATACATCGACTGGTTGCTTCCCACAGGCATGGCGACTGGAACCAGGGATCGAACCTGCAACCCAGGTATGTGGGAATGGAACCCGTGACCCTTTGGTGAGTGGGCCGACACTGTAACCATTGAGCCACATGGGCTATGGCATACATGTCACATTAATTTAAAACAATGTTTTTTTGCATTAAAAAATGAAAAAAATTTTTGCCTTTGAAATTACTTGGTTACAAGAAAATTCACATTTGTGATGGCTGTGATTTCTTGGCAATCATTGAGCCTATTTGGAAATTTTTGTGACTTAGGAAAATCTAATTTTCAAATTATTTCCAAATGTAATTTGATTGTTTATGAATACTAAATTTAATGATGAATGAAGTTGCCATAATGTTACATTTTCTAGATATTTAATTAAACATCTATTCATTCCAACTTTGTAGTTTTCCTTTTTCATTGTGGAACTGTTTTCCTTTATCCCCAGTCTCACCCTTTTCATAGCCCCCGGGAAAGCTCAACAACCGGTGGTGCTAATAAAGAAAATGGCTCCATATAGCTGGCTGAATAATACTAATTTGTAAACCAGATCATGTCATTACTCTGCTTAAAACCTTCAAAGGCTTATCATACTTAGAATGAAACCTAAGATCTTTACTGTGGCTTAGGAGGCCCTGCAGGGTGACCTCAGTTGACCTCTGCAGGCCTCATCTAACAGACTCCCTCTTGTCACCACTTTCAAGCCCTGCTGGCTTGTCTTTCAGCGCAAGCTTATTCCTGCTGCAGGGCTTTGCACTTGCTGTTCCCTCTGTGTGGAATCTGCTTCCTTCAGATAATTGTATGGTTGTCTCATTTATGGTTCAACTCAAATGTCCCTCTCAAGCCTTCCTGGACTACCCTAGTTAAAGTAGCTCTTCCTTAATCACATCACCCTGCTTTATTATCTCAGAATCTGTACTTAATGTTGGTTTTGAGTTGTGCTTGTTATCGTTCATCATCCCTTAATAGATTAAAAGCTGGCTGTGGACAGAGATCTTAACCTGCCTCACATTGACCTCTCAATGTATTTTTGGAGATTAGGATAGGGCCTCACACAAAATCTTCAGTAGATTTTTAAAAAAAGAATAAATCCATATAAAAGGCTTAGCATACTACCTGGAATGTGAAAAACAATAAACATGAGCTGTTAGTACTACATAGTAATAAGTAGTTAAGTCTTCATTCATTCTTATGTAATATTTCAGGTGCACACACTTGAAAAACTATAAGAAGTGCTCAAACAAAATACACTTTTACTCATTGACCAGATTAAGAAGTAAAACATTAGGGATGCAATTGAAAGGCCCCTGCCTCAAACCTACTCCTTTCTCCTTTCCCTCCAATGTAACTACAACCCTGGATTTGGTGTTTATTTTTCTGTGCATGTTGTATATCTTTTTTTTTAAATACATTTTATTGATTTTTTACAGAGAAGAAGGAAGAGGGATAGAGAGTTAGAAACATCGATGAGAGAGAAACATCGATCAGCTGCCTCCTGCACACTCCCCATGGGGATGTGCCTGCAACCAAGGTACATGCCCTTGACCGGAATTGAACCTGGGACCCTTGAGTCTGCAGGCTGACACTCTATCCACTGAGCCAAACCGGTTAGGGCTGTTGTATATCTTTATATGCATGTGTCTTTAAACAATATATAGTATTGTATATCATGTTCTATAATCTATATACATAAAAGCCTAAGTGACCGTTACGACCAGTCGACTGGTTGCTATGATGTGCACTGACCACCAGGGAGCAAACGCTCAATGCAGGAGCTGCCCCCTGGTGGTCAATGCACTCCCACAGCCAACCTCCCACGGCCAGTCAACCTCCATGGTCCCTCCCCCTGGCCAGCCGGCCCCAGTTGGCCCCGATTGGGACTGGGTGAGGTGGCCCCAATTGGCTCCAATCACTGGCCAGGCCAAGGACCCTACCTGTGCACAAATTCGTGCACCAAGCCTCTAGTTTTATATAAATGATATAAGTGCAAAAAAGAGTTAACCTGTCCAGCTGGTGTAGCTCAGTGGTTGAGGGTTGACCTATGAACCAGGAGGTCATGGTTTGATTCCCTGATGGGGCACATTCCTGGGTTGTGGACTTGATCCCCAGTAGGGGGTGTGCAGGAGGCAGCTGATCCATGAATCTCTCTCATCATTGATGTTTCTCTCTCTCTCCCTCTCCCTTCCTCTCTGAAATCAATAAAAATACATTAAAAAGAAAAAAAGAGTTAACCTAACAGACCTAAGACCGCTATTCTTGGAAAGGCCTATTGGCAGTGTTAGTCCTTGGCTGGTGTCTAGGAACTTGGATTTTAGGAGGGTTCCCACTAGTCTATATATATAAAAGCCTAAGCAACCATCTGATCGTTTGACCAGCTGACCAGTAGCTATGACGTGCATTGACCACCAGGGGGCAAACACTCAACACAGGAGCGGAAACCACAGGCATGGAAACATGGAACAGACTGATGAATCTCAGAAGGGAGGGAGGAGAGGGGAGGGCAGGAAGAGATTAACCAAAGATCTTATATGCATACTAGAGGCCCGGTGCACGGATTCATGCACTGGGTGGGGGCCCCCCTGCCTGGCCTGGGGGGGTTGGGCCCAAACCGGCTCTCCAATATCCCCCAAGGGGTCCCAGATTGCAAGAGGGTACAGGCCAGGCTGAGGGACCCCACTGCTGCACGAATCCGTGGACTGAGCCTCTAGTCCTTAAATAATAAGAGTGCCTTGTGGTGCCTTACCTATTTGTACATTGTGGTTTTACATTGTGGTTTACGTTAAACACCTGCTTTCTTTCTGGAGCTTGAAATTTTGGTACTTGATCAGACCCCAATAAATATTTTAGCACTGAGTTTCTGATGAGCTTCCCTGGTCGGCAACATTTCACACAAGTTGCCACAGCTCTACTGCAGGAACTAAGTGTGTCTCATGTGACTCCACTAGGAGAGGATTTGAGGAAGCTTGCACCCGGTTTCTTCTAGACATCACCCCATGTGTCTTTTCCCTTGGCTAATTTTGCTTTGTATTCTTTCATGCTAAATTCTGTGAGTCTTCCTAAAGAATCATTGAACCTGGAGGTGATCTTGGGGAACCTTGACACAATATCATACTGGATGTATATCCTGACAGCGCTGGATCTAGGGTAAGGCAAGCAAGGCACAGAGGGTACCAAATTTGACACGCTCACTCCCAGGGTCACTTAAGTGTCCAACATGTACTTGCATGATCTTGAGGGTGAGTGCCTCCTAAAATTTTCACCCTAGACACATCACTTGCTTCATTCTAGTCCCTGCCCTAACTTATAAACTTGCTTTTTTCATCCAATATAATGCTTTGAGATTTATCTATGTTGACGCATGTATTTGGCTCTAACTCATTTATTTTTACTGCTAGAAATCTGTGCTTTCTGATGTAGCCACTAGCCACCTGCAGCTAAAACATTTATTTTCCTAGTCACACTAACCAAATTTCATATGTTTAATAGGCACCTGTGGCTAGTGGCTACTGCATTGGACAACATGGATAGAGAACACTTTCATGATCATAGAAAGTTTTGTTGGACAGTCACCCCTTGATATTTAGGTGTTTCAGATTTCTATTACAAACAGTGTTACAGTGTTCATTGTTATGTATGTCTCCTTGTGTACACATGCAGGAGTTTCTCTAGGATACTTACCTAGGAGTTGAATTGCTGGCTTATGGGTTATGGGAGTACTCACCTTTACTAAATATTGACAATTTGCTCTTCAAAATGATCATCCCAGTTTTCACTTCCCATCACCAGTGTTATTATTGCTCAGTGTCCTCATCAACACCTGATTTTATCAGATTTTTACATTTTTGTCTTTTGATGGATGTGAATTAGTGGTTTCAGTTTGCATTACCTTGATTATTGTGAGGTTGAGCTATTTTCATATGCTTATTGATTGACTGTCTTCTGTTAATTGCCTGTTCATATCTTTGCCCATTTTCCTGCTGGGTTGTCATCATCTTACTCAGTTCAGGAGTTCTTCTCACATCTGAGATTTTTATGAAAAGGCAAATTTCAGGAGACTTTTGATGTTCGGAATTTATTATTATTACTAGAGGCCCGATGCATGAAGAGATTCGTGCAATAGGCCTTCCTTCCCCTGGCTGCCGGCACCAGTTTTCCTCTGGCACCCAGGACCCAGGCCTTCGCTCTGGCCGCAGCAGAGAAGCCAAGCCTCGAGGCTTCTCCACTACAACCACAGTAGAGAAACCAAGCCTCTTCAGTGTTCAGTTGTCTTCAGTTGGTGCTCTGTGCCTGTGTATGCAAATTAACCGCCATCTTTGTTGGGTTAATTTGCATAGTCATCCTGATTGGCTGGTGAGCGTAGCAGACACCAATTTGCATGTTTCTCTTTTATTAGTGTAGATTTTAATGTCATCAGAATGATCAACATATATTTTGTGGGGGTTTTTTTGCCTTGCTTAAGAAATCTTACCTTGAGATTAATAAGGTATCCTATTGTGTTTTCTTCTGGAAGTTATACTTTCCATATTTAGCTTTTAAAAAAAATCTGCCTGGACTTTGTTTTTATTTTTTTCACATGGATAACCAGTTGTCCCAGTTCCATTTATTGACTAATCCAGTGCTTCTCAAAATGTGACCTTCTATGGATCCCCAAGAGTCTTTTAGGGGGTCCAGAATATAAACTCTTTTCATAATAATTTAAAGGAGTTATTTGCCTTTGTCATTTGTGCTGTGTTATCATGTGCATTATTGGTATAAAAGCAATGGTGGGTAAAAACTGCTGGCACCTTAGCAGGAATCAATGCAATGTCACCAAACGCTAGCAGTATTTGTTATTGTATTCCTCACCCCCACACATTCAATGTTAAACAAAATACTTTCACTTAAGACTACTACCTTTGAAGAAGCAATGAAAAGTAGTAATTGTGTTAAAGCTTTAGCTCTGCAGCAGGTCTTTTTAATATTCAGTATGGTGGCATAGGAAGTTTGCATAGAGCACTTCTAGTGCATGGAAGAATGATGGCAGTTTAGGTAATATACTTGT